TGGTTGGTCGGTTTTATCGATTATGGTGGTACAGACTTGTCGTTGTTCTGGGGTCATATAATTGGGTTCAGTTCGGTTTCCGTTCCTACTGGGATAATTATTTGAATTTTGTGGAAATCTGCCTTGTGGGTAAGGGAACCAGTTTTGTTGGTTTGGCCGGTTGTTGTATTGTTGGTTGTGGTTGTATGGTCGATTGTTTTGTTGATACTTCATGTCATATCTTGGTTGGTATGCATTTTGGTTGATGTTATTAGTGAAGTCAGGATATCTGTTTTGTGGTTGTGTGTTATAGTTAGGCCTTGGTTCATTTCGGTTTGTCACTGGTGTATTGTGTGATGGGGAATGGTTTTGTTTATTCCGGCGATTTCCGTCTTTTATATCTTCACGCTGGAGGATCGATTCAAATGCAAATATTGTGTTGGCATTCTGTACTATGCGGGCATCTTGTATTAGTTCACTGAAGTGATCGCTTAACAATGTAATAATTTCTTCATCAGTCAAAGGTGGGGACATTGATTTCAACGTTATGACTCTCTCTATAAAGTATTCTGAGCGGGTCAGTTTTCTTCCAGGACGGTACTTCTCGTTTTCCAATCTATGTCGAATTCCACGCTGTACTGATTGGCTCCAAAATTTCATGAGAAACATGCTCTCAAACTCATCTCATGTATTAATATTACTTTTGATAAGATAAAACCATCGTGAAGCGCTCCCTTCTAAACCCATCTCTATCGTATCGATTAGGAATTCTTTAGGATCGGTTGTGGGACTCTGGCGAACCAAATTGCGACAGTAATATTTTTGTAGTTTGTTTAAGAACTCTTTGGGGTTGTGTGCTCGTCCAGTGAATTTAGGTACGTCTGAGTCAACATTAGTTCCGCTACCGCAAGATACATAAATGTTAGGGGTTAATGTACTTTGTTTAACAGTGGCTTCGTGTTGTAGAGATTCAATCTTGTTATGATGTTCATTTAGTGTTGTCTTCATATTTTCTATTAATTCAATGTTTTGTTTAACTCTGTCTTGATTTGCTTTAATCTGTGGTTCTAGTTGTTCTTGAATCCGTTGAGTGTTTTCACTTACTACGTGTCTGAGTTGTTTATGTTGTGTTTCATATGTTTCCTGAATTTGACTTTGAATATTATTTAAATTAGTATTCATAGTCTGGCTCATCTCTTCCCTAATAATTTGATTTTGGGTATGGACTAAGCCATTTACTTCAGTTTTATGGGCATTTAGATCTGCTAACAGGTCCATTTTTAGATTATAGGAGCTTTCAGCAATTTGGGTAGCTAATTTAGATTCAATTGATTTCATTTCCTCTGATTGTTTTTGTTGATTTTCCTTCACATAGTTTAATTCCAATCGTCATGAAACCGTGTTGTGATTGGCTGCTGTGTTTCGGTTGCCGTCGTAAGGAGTGTAGGCCTATCAGCTGTCATATTCATTCCCATCATTCCTTGTTCATCGTTCACCGGGACGTTGGCTTGGTCAGTAAAATTTGTTTGCTTTGAGGTTAGGGCTACAATTTCTGATGACTCGGAACCGTGGAATGATCGCTCGTCGAAGGATTTGTCCTCTAAGTGTGTTTGTTGTGATGATGTTTCAGGGCTTTTCGCTGTTAGAGTGCATGATTCATCTTCACTAATATCGCTGGTGTTAGTGTTTGTGTGAATTTCAATGTTGTTGTCGTCTTGATTATTATCGTCACTATCCCCGCTATTTTCGACTAGTTTCCTAGAGAGTTTAGGGTTTGGGCGTAAATTGTATTGACTCGTCATCTTGGATATCTTTAACTAACAGGTTACTGATAGGCTATAATTATAAAAGGGGAAACGGGTGGGGAATCTTAACTTAGATACCTTAATAATAGTACAACACTCTTTATAGGCTATTGGCTATTCTTTAGTTTAACCTAAAAATCGCTATTTCAAACACATGAGCTAGGCCTACTTGTATTATTAGCAAGGTTTGGTCAATAAGAGAGCCCCACTCGTTGCGGCGCCAATTGCAACCTCAGGGTTTTTAGGTTCGTGCTTGGAACTCTCTTTAATTACCAATTTCCTTGCTAATATTTTAATTTGAAACTTTTTTTTATGATAATAAAGTTAGCCTTTGATTTTTTTTTTTTTTACTAAATAATTTTATATCGAATTTTATAAGATTGTTCTAAAAACAAAAGTCTTTACTTGAATCAAGATTTTAGGCTATATAAATTTTAACAGCTACGAGGCTACTCGATCCACCTCAGAGATAGGTTAATGTTCTCAAATTGTCCAACACCTATAGGATAGTCTGTAATAATAAGATGGAGATTACCAAGTTTCTTCCAAGTTTCCACATTTCTTCTTGTTTAAACTATTTGAAATGATGAGACTGTTTTGGTTTAGCTTTTCACTTTTTACTAGAAAATATTATAATATAAAAATCATACAAACTAGTTTTTACACTTTCATCAGGCTAGTTCATGGTAGAAGAAGGAGGAAATCCAGTTGTTACCTAACACATGTTTTTCAGCAACAATGTATTCAGGTCTTCTAGATCTTGATGTTCACTGTTACTTTTTAGTCACTTAGGCCAATTAATAGTATATGAAATTTAATTTGGGTAAATTACTTTTTGAGATTTTGTTTGGATATATATAATTATTTTTACTTTAGCTTGTGTTTGAAATAGATTTTAAACATAGTATATTTTAAATAGGCTTTTAGGCTTAATTGACTGGTAATAGGCTATTTATATATTATTTAATTATACAAACTTTTATGAACTGTTGCATTCTTTACACTTTACACAATTAACATTACAATTTTACTTTAATTCCTTATAACAGCCATAAAACATACTATGAAGACACAAAATTCTCTCACAACACAATATCTAATGTCAGGGCCTGATTAAGGGTCTAGTCGCCAGTAGGCTGAAGTTTTTTCGCCCCCCCCCCTCCTCCCTACAACTGCCACTCCCCTCTGCCACCACTTTCAAAATTTCAAAGTATGAATACTAATACTTCAAAAATTCAAAAATTAAAAATGGCCAAAGGCATTATACTACTATTCCGTTTATTTAAAAACAAAAGAAAACTTATAATAAATTAATGCATGGTTCGATTAGAAACTTTTAAAACTGCAAATCTTGACTTTGAGATAATATTTAAAAATGTAAGAGCTAAACAATATGTCATAGTCATAGGCACTATTAATTCTGGTTGAGTATTGATACAGAAGGTACAGACTTTGTTTAAACTAAGTTCACAGTACGGCCTTATAAAGCTTCGTTCGCCTAGGGTGGCACTGCACGGACGGGCGGCCGTCACGAAATTTTTTTAACATTGAACATATGGTGGAAAATGCCGGACAACCTGCGGTTTTTCACCTTATGTTCAATATTAGACAAATGTCATGTCGGCCGCCCGTCCGTGTCGTGCTGCACTAGTGCGAACGAGGCTTAAAATAAATATAGTAACAAATCGGTTGTTCTAGGAATGTAAAACTTTTTGATTTAAAATAAAAGTAGACCTAACCTAAAATATCAAAAAACCAAACGATAATATACGTACTTTCTAAATTAACTCTGTTAATCACCTGGCCTAAAACAATTTTATTAGGGCCTTTAGATGGGGCTTTACCCCCCCGGTCCCAACTTTAAGTCTTAGCTGTCTGGCGCCCCCCTAAAACACTTGGTTGACTGGCGCCCTAGGCTCCAGCCTAATTAGCTTAACAGGTAATCAGACCCTGTCTAATGTAAGTGATTTTCTTCTTAACATTTTACTTGAATTCACTGAAACATCACCAACTACAGATAACTTAATTTTCATATTCATGTATACAAAATTGAATCATGGCAATCTGTTTTGATGTAAACAAATGTAAACTTGAAAAAGATCTGATGATTGACAACAGAATTCAGCACAAACTATGAAATCTTAAAAGCCTGTAGGACGAAGGGCTTTCATCAATATCATCCAAACCCGCAAAAGCACATCTACAGGATAAGAAGTTTAAATTGATACCCAATATGCCTATAAAAATGAATATTTAGGGGTAGATTTGCTGCATACAAAAATCTAACAAATTCTTTTGATAATATAGATAGATATCTATTTGTGAACACACAGTCATTAGATTGCAGGTTCTAAGTTACTGCTTCTCAAACGTTATGGCCTTAATACAAGATTTTTTGCCTAAGCAGCCAGCTGATGCAAACTTTTCAATTTCCAAAAAGCTCTCTAATATTGTTCAATCACAGGCTTTATTCCTAACTAGCAGAGTACCCGTCCTTCGTACGGGGTTGGCATATAAATATAAAATTCTTATTGTAGTTATACTCTAGCTTTGTGTTTGCAATGAGGGAGGACACGGTTTGATAAAATTTGCTTCTTTATATTTACAGTATTCTATAGTATTACACATCTACGATAGCCATAATGTTCTATCACTTCACCTAAACAATAGAGAAAAATAAATCATCAAAAATTCAAAAAATATCACAAATTATTCATGAAATTAAAAACATAAACATAACTGTAAACAATCTTATTTTGATAGTTTTCATTGCGTGTCACAGTTTTTGTTGCTGCTTAGTTAAAATTAGCTGTTTTCATAAATACAAAAAAATAATAGTGCTGCACCCTGTTGGTAAATCTTAGAACTTTTTAATTCTTTTGCATATCATAGAACCAACTTTTTTAGTTGAAACAGCTGACTAATTTTTTATTTCTTTTTATATATAAATACTCATAAGATTAACATGGGGAAATACAGAGCCACTGGGGCGGAGTCCGAAAGGATTTTTGAGATAAGAATATGCCTATATGTTAATCGGGAATGTGAGCTATCATCATGCCAAATTTCAGCCCCATCCGTCCAGTAGTTAATGCATGATTGAACTTCAAACAAACAAATAAACAAACACACAAACTTTTACATTTATAATATAAGTAAGATTAACAGAACACAACAATATACAATATGTTTAGTTTGTGCACTAAATATTTTTACCTCCATTTAGATCCTTGCAAATCAAATTGGACAAAAGACTGTGATATTCCTCCACTTGTTCAGGTAGACTCTTGAACATTCCGTCAATGATCATGAACATTAACAACAAAGGCCACTCACATTCAACGTTCTCAAACTCCTGTGAAAAATAATTGCAAAATGGTACATCTCATATCTAGAACATAGCGACTAAAAATTTAACATTTAAACTTGTTAAAATTATAAAACAGCAAATCCAAGGATTAAATTTCACCATATCGAATGTAGTGTTAACTTTAGTAATGTATCGGTACCTACAAATTTTTCAAAATCGATCCAGTACCGGTTCTTGAGCAAAACTAATTCTCGATTCCCAATACCAGTACCATTGGTACCTCACTAAAAACTACCATGAAATTCTTTTAAGTAAGTTGCTGATTTCATATTGTAAAAATTAATGTTGGTATTATTCCAATAGCGGTCTAATTGTGTGATTAATGAGACTGATTAGATTGATTAGAGTATTTGTGATTAAAATGTAAGAATTGGGATCAGGTAATTTCATTCAAACGAATGGGAGATTTTCGGCAAGGTCTGTTCACACTTTTTGAATTGAATACCAGACCTATGGGTATATTCCCAACAAAGGGAGAATAGCCCTAGGACTGCCCTGATGGTTTGGATGAATGTCCCTGCCATTTTTGCGATTTCAAAGTTCTTTTTAAAAATTTGCAGTGTCTAAATTACTAATGATAACCTAATCAAATACATACTCATTTTGTAGAGAAAAAGGAGATTTCAAATAGAATAAATAAATGAAAATGCCTAGGGGTAATTCTTTTGCTAGAGTTGACAAACTAAAATGTGCGTAAAATAAAAAAAAAAAATCAAATGTAGAGTCCTGGTATTTTCCTACAAAATTATGAACAAAAAATCCAAGATATACAAAATGTAGACATTTGATATCCCTGCGTGGAAATATGTTTGATTTTTGAACAAAAATTCTTCATCCCCTCTAAAGAAATAAATATACAAAGTAGGAAAATATCTATAAATGTACACTAATTATTTGAAACGCAGAAAGAATGTCAAATATCACTGTAATAAGCCAAAAGTGTAATACATATTAGTAAAGGTGATAATAACATATTTATATGATAATACACTTTAGTGCACAGTAATAACTGTTTTATAAGTTTTATATGAGTTGAAAAATAAAACATTATTTTCATTGTGAAAGAAAATAAGTTATTCAAAGCTGTATGTATTTTTTTACTGTATGACATTATAATAAATTGTAACGTGCCTATTTTGAGGGGGGGGGGGGATCAAACTAGGCTATTTATCTGTCTAGCCTAGCCCTAGGCATAGCCCACCAGCCCTAACTAAGGTTATAGGTTAGAAGGCTAACCTTAGTTATAACATCATTAGTAACTATAGGCATGATACACTGTTGTGTTTGGTAACAAATAAGTGTAGAACGAGAGTTGTGATTACTGTATGAGCGTGATATAAACCTTATACAGAGTGTTATAGCTTATTGACTCACCAGCGATGTTTTTTTTGGAAGCTAGGGCTCAACCTGGCTTAGTACTCCGACGACACTTTCTACACTTAGTAAACCCGCAGATCATGGCCTTAGGCCAATAATCCGTTTCAAAGACGTGAGGAAATGCCGAGTGAGTAATATAAACCGACAACTTGAAGTTAAAACTCATTGTCGTGTGAAACAAACACAACATAACCTACAGTCAACACAACAACAACAAGCTCGATTACGCGGCTGCAGACGACGGCGGCTGGCTAGCTTTTTTCGGGTTAGCAAACAGCAGACGTCCCGGATCAGCTGAGCCCCCTACTTTGCTAGAGAGGGGAGCGAGAGGGATGATCCGAGGAACCCTCAGACGGCGGGTAGAAAAGTTAGTTCCTCTTCCTCACCAGCAACTACGACGACTAGTTCGAGAGGTTTTCTCAAGTCCTGATATCGTTATTGGTGGAGCATAGTTAGCTCGTGTGATACTTCAAGTAAAATTGTAAGTCTAATATTTCAATAGACATTTATTCTCTCATGACTCTATTGTAAAATGCCACTGGCGTTGAAAAAAATAGATATAAGGTAAACCGAGTTAATTATTGCCAGGGTGTAAAGTACTAGTTTTTAAAATCAGTTTTACTAGATTTTATATTTTCACTCCTGTTAAACCAATGGACTTAGGCAAAGTTTACTTGATTACGATGGTGTGTTAAACCCATAACGAGTACAATATTACAAGGCCAGTGTATTTTGAATCCGATTTAGTAAGCCCAAAACAATTTAATCTCATCATACAAATTTATTAGTAGTAGTCAGTGACTACTATGGTTAGTTAGTTGTGCGAGATTAGCACGTCCCGATCGGCACGCATGGCGTGTTGGTAATAGTGGCCTTAGGCCTGTGTGTTACGATGTTTTATGGTTTTAACGACGGGTTTGCCATAAAGCTTTTGAGATTAAAGTAAACCAGAAGTGGATAATTCGTTTTGGCCTTGGTTACTTGTTTTAATTTTCGTTTTTAATAACAAGGCATTTTTATATCCATTCTGCCTGGTGATTTAGGCCCGGTTTCCCCAACTCATTTAAACTTAGTTTTAAGTTAAACGGCGATTTAAACTTAGTTATACTTTGATTTGTGTTTCTCCAAATTTAAACTAGGTATTAATCTAAGTTCAAACTAAACCACCTCTCGACTTGGTTTAACTACTGGAGATAAAATAAACTGAGTTCAAATTAGTAAATTAGAACAGTAACATAACCTCAAATAATTCCAAAACAATAGGTAGGTTAATGATTGAAGCATCAACAAATTTATTTGGACGAAAATAGGCTTGGCTTAGGGCTAGCTTATATTGTAAAGGCCTATAATTAAGTTAAGTTTTATTTATATTTTAATTTATTTTGTTAATTAAGTTCTTTTTATGTGTACATTTATTTTTTTTGCAAGTCAGGCTACTATTAATTGTAGTATTTGCCTTAACTCAAATGGAAGAGTTAATTGACATTTTCGAAGAAGTTGAAGATAAAGATTATAACACTTTGGTACCAAGAACAAGAGGGCCTACTAAAATAAGGGACAGAATTCTTCTTGTTGTAAAAGAAAAATCAACTTTATAACATAACAGTGAAGTTATTCTAGCAGCATTCTCACTTTGCTCGTCTGCTCTACTGAGTTGTAGCGTAGCGTAGCGAGCGTTGTATGAAACACTAGCCCAAAGCCCACCGAAGATTCCTTACAAATACACATTCAGGATTGCCAACTGCTCAAATTGCCGTTTATCTTAAACGAAACCAGTAAAATGTTGGAGAAACCGAACACACATTTTAAACGGAGTAAAATAAACTAGTTTATTATAAACAAAGTTTACACCAGTTTTTTTGGAAAACCGGGCCTTAATCTCTGTTTAGTTAACGGTTTTGGTTGTCATGTGAGATAATCCGTGACTAACCCTTTGAGTATTATTTCATGTTTAATGATTTGTATGTGTTTTAATATGTTGTGTAATAAGTTTACGACAGGTTGTTTTGGTGCGAATTGGATAGCGTTGGCCTATGCTGTGGAACCATTAGACGTCTGGTGAACAAGAGGGACTGGCGAGTCGGCGTGTCTTCGGAAGCTGTGGTAGCGTGTTGAACCTACCTTTGGTGACGACCATGGGACTCATCGACGCTTCAGCAGCTGCGGTAGCGTGTTAAACCTACCTGGAGTAACGACCAACTCACGACACTGGAATCAGCGACTCGTTAGCGGACAGAAGATTGACGTAGAGAAGTCAGCTAGCCTACTACGATTCTCGAACGGCTGAGGTTGTGTGATAAACCAACCAGAGGAACTCACATAACACTGTTGGCCAGCTTCGGTGTTCTTCGATTGATTATCCAGCGGCAGTGGTTGCGTGATAAACCAACCATTGCAACGGAGAACAACGGTCAGCGAGACAACCGGAACTTGGTCAACGTGTACCCAACGAGTGTTGAACCGTTGTGGTAAATCTGGGCGTGTTGTAAACCCAAGGACTATCCGCATCGGGGGTGGCACATAACACATACACACAGACAGCCACCACGCGCATCACTGCGGAGGGCGGGGCAGTGACACGGGACCGTGTGATAAACCGAATCCCCGAGGACTACATGCGAAGGGCGCAAGTAGCTCAAATCGGGGGTGGTAAACGACAACTACGAACGGACGGCCACCACGCAGCTCACTGCGGCGGACGGGGCAGTGACACATGTCCGTGTGAGGAACCGGACACCCGAGATGTCAGCGACGAAAGACGGACGAGTAGGCTCCCCGGCTGTAGTACCGATATAGGGCGCGCGGGCTGGAAAACCTAGGCCGCGGTGAAGACCAGGTGAGGATGGCTGAGCCCCAGCCTACGACGACAAGTGGGACTGAACGCACCTCAGCCTGTAGCCGTGGTCGACAGGTGAGCTTGAACCCTATGCTACAGTGGCGGGTTGAGTCGGTTAAGTTAAAGGTACTGCGACATCACGAGTCTGTGTGCAGAACCAGACAGACACCCAGGACGGTAGCGGAGACCGACGGGGCCGAGGACTACCGGCTGTAGTCTCGATTGGGGCCACGATGGACGTCCAGCCTGCAGTGAAGGCGAAGTAGCTGCGACGTTAGGTGGGTGATCCGAACCCCGACTACAGCGGCAGGCGGAGCTCCCTAGGTACCGCTACGATGCTGGGATCTGTGTGTTGAACCAGATTCTCCTGGGGCTACATGTGGACATGTAGACGATTCGGGGATGACGACTAACGACAATGGAAGGTCATCACGTCTCACTGCAGTGGAAGGGGCAGTGACAGGGTTCCGTGCGATGAGCCGGATTCCCATACGATAGTGTCCAAGAAACGAACAGGGAATCCACTGTTAAAAGCCCCACGTTAGACGTCACATCCATGGCACGATACGACAACATCGACGAAATGTCCCTGCAACGAGCAGGACACATATACGACGGACAACGACAGGTGTCCCTGCAACGAGCGGGACACTCATACGACAACGACAACAATAGAGGTCCGTGCGATGAGCCGGATTCCCAGACGACAACACCAACAGGGATCTGTGTGAGAAACCAGATGCCCAGCCGACAGCGGCGACGGATGGGAAGTATGACCCGAGTCTGCAGTAGCATCGACAGTGGTCACAACAGACCCAGCCTGCAACGACGGTAAGGTGAGGCCGGATGAGCCCCAGCCTACTACCACAAGTGGGGGGGCGGAATGAGCCTCAGCCTGTGGCTGTGACGACAGGAGGGCGACTGTGGACCCCAGGCTACAACGGCAGACGGAGTCAACCCATACTTGGTGTGTCTAACCCAAGCGCCCGGCTGAATGTTGTGTGCTGAACACAAAGACGATTTCGGGGGTGGCGACTAGTGTCCATGGAAGGCCACCACGTATCACTGCGGTGGAAGTGGCAGTGACCGGTCCGTGAGGATTAATCCGGACCACGGCGACATCTGTGTGATGAACCAGATGCTCGAGATCTACGACGCGGTAAACCTCAGCCAAGGCGACGGCACGGCTGAGTGTGAAAGCAACATCTTGACGCGAACCCTGGAAGGCCAACCCAAATCTCCGTACTGAGGCCTATCCGGAAACTAAATGTGCTGTATAGCACGTGGTACTTGAACATGGCATGTAAACTAGTGTTATATGTTTCAGTGTGGGAAAAGTACGTCACAAAATGGTACAAATATTCATAGTATATATATTTCTGAACAAGAATATATATCTATGTATATAGAAATAATAAATAATAAAGGTTCCATAAGCATTTTAGACGAGAGACGCACTGTTTGGTAGTAGCCCGACAAGTCACTTGGTCTCGATCGGTTCGTTATCACTAAAAAGCAAGCGACATTTCATAATCATACATTTTACCACAAATACTAATCGTTTACCGATAATCCACTAGTAAATGTTAGTGTTTTATTGTAACAAATGTGTTGTTTTGTTTAGTGAGTGGATGTAATAGGAATTATTACTATTCATGTTATTATGGGTCATATTATCATTACCCATAATAACATTGATAAAAATTACTATCACATCACTCAAGAAAACAAACAAAACAACACATTTGTAACAATAAAACACAAATATTCATGAATAAAATACATATTTACAGCTCGCATGCAAGACTCATGAGACGTGAACGCCGTACAACAGTAATGGCGACTGTCACCAAATAAACAGCTATTTTATGCAGTGTCAACAACAACTGTGTATTTCAAATTGTGCAATTTTATTTCTGGCTACGGATTAATGTAAATTACATCACGCTAACACAATCCTTTATTGATTTATTAGACATTGCCTAAATGACAATTTTCGTCATTTCAAATGTCAGCTGATTTCTAAATATTATTTCCCAAATTGTCTGACATAATATGAAAATAAACTCCAGAACAAAATCTTACTATTGGTACTAACCGGTTGGTCTTGCGGTTTCATGCAAGATTATTGGCGCTACGATTTATTGAACATGGGTAATGAATTGATGCGGCAAACTCAAGAGATCGTCTCACGCCTAAATTTTCATTTAAATTGTAACGACAATAAAATTGATCTGTTAATGCTATAAGATTTGTTTATATATGAAAATGAAGGTTTAGAATCTCATCTTTCGAATGGTATCAAAATTATTTGGTTTTGGAATCATTTTAAATGAGTTATAAGCTGTTTAAAAGAAAGTGACACTATGTGACGATTTTCGTCATGTGAGCATTTTGGAAGCACAGACATTTGACGAAAATCTTTATATTGCCAGTCCTAGGGATAGTCATTCATTACTCTTTACCATCATCATTCTATTACCTTTGTTTCTCCGGTTTTATAAAATCTCCTTTTTGGATCTTCAAGCACACATTTGTACCCGTCTCTGCCGAACCGCTTGAAGCCATGTTGACCTTTGAGCTGAGCCACGACACTTGCCTTGGTGGTAGTACTTAGGTATTCTTCATGTGTGGCAAAAGCCGGGAATGAAATTGTTGGGAGCAACGCTGCATCAACACCCTGAAATAGAAATTAATAATGTTGAATGAGGTTTCCATAACACTAATTATGATTACTAAACATGAACTGTCCATACTGTACACATTTTAGCATAGTGCTTGTTTATTCGCATGTTTATAGGATACACTAACAACCACTTAGCTTAAAGATTCGCCCAATCCGATGATCTAAGCTGTATGACTTCAGTGAAGAAGCTTCCCTTCGGATGCCCTCTTCTATGAAGTAAATGTTCTCGACATCAGACAATTGTTTATTCAAACCATGACTATTTCCATATTCAAACACTCAAATGACATTTTTAAATAGTAACACACGAATACCGAGCCAGACATGCATTACATGGAAGAATTTACTTACCGAACTAAATAGAATGCAACAGTTCATCAAATTTTGTATAATTAAATAATATATAAATAGCCTATTATCAGTCAATTAAGCTTAAAAGCCTATTTAAAATATACTATGTTTACAATCTATTTCAAACACAAGCTAAAATAAAATAAATATATAGATAATTAAAAAAAAAATCTCAAAAAGTATTCTAGACAAATGAAATTTTATACAATATTTATTGGCCTGAGTGACTAAAAGTGAACAGTGAACTTCAAGATCTAGAAGACCTGAATACATTGTTGCTGAGGTAACAACTGGATTTCCTCCTTCTTCTACCATGAACTAGCCTGGGTGAGAGTTTAAAAACTAGTTTGTATGATTTTTATATTATAATATTGTCTAGTAAAAAGTGAAAAGCTAAAACAAAAAAGTCTAATTATTTCAAAATAGTTTAAACAAGAAGAAATGTGGAAACTTGGAAGAAACTTGGTAATCTCCATCTTATTATTACAGACTATCCTATTTAGGTGTTGGACAATTTGAGAACATTAGCCTACTTCTGAGGTGAATCGAGTAGCCTCATAGCTGTTAAAATGTATATAGCCTAAAATCTTGATTCAAGTAAAGACTTTAGTTTTAGAACAATCTTATCCAAATTCGATATAAAATTATTTAGTAAAAAAAAAAAAATCAAAGGCTAACTTTATTATCATAAAAAAAGTTTCAAATTAAAAGATTAGCAAGGAAATTGGAAATTAAAGAGAGTTCCAAGCACTAACCCTAACCCCTGAGGTTGCAATTGGCGCCCAACGTGGGGCTCTCTTATTGACCAAACCTTGCTAATAATACAAGTAGGCCTAGCTTATGTGTTTGAAATAGCGATTTTTAGGTAAATTATATAAACTAATCTTCTTAAACTAAGAATAGCCTATAAGAGTGTTGTACTATTATAAAGGTATCTAAGTTATGATTCCCCACCTGTTTCCCCTTTCATAATTAGCCTATCAGTCACCTGTTGGTTAAAGATATCCAAGATGACAAGTCAATACAATTTACACCCAAACCCTAAACCCTCTAGGAAACTAGTCGAAAATAGCGGGGATAGTGACGATAATAGTCAAGACGACAACAACATTGAAATTCACACAAACACCAGCGATATTAGTGAAGATGAATCATGCACACTAACAGCGAGAAGCCCTGAAACATCATCACAACAAACACATTCAGAAAACAAATCCTTCGACGAGCGATCATTCCACAGTTCCGAGTCATCAGAAATTGTAGCCCTAGCCGCAAAGCAAACAAATTTTACTGACCAAATCAACGTCCCGCTGAACGATGAACAAGGAATGATGGGAATGAATATGACAGCTGATAGGCCTACGTTCCTTACGACGGCAACAAAAACACAACAGCCAATCACAACACAGTTTCATGACGATCAATCACAGCGAGCTTCTCAACATGCAAGCACCGTCACTCAACTACCCGACCCGAAACCCGACTTTATGACCCAAATTCAAACGCTATTCTAATCTTTGGATAATAAAATGATATCGTTGGAAACCAGCATTAAAGATGAAATAAAGACCCACTATAGAATTCTCGATACTAAAATTGAATCTATCACTGAATCACAAAATTAACTACAATTAGAATTAAACTATGTGCAGGAAAATCAACAAAAACAATCAGAGGAAATGAAATCAATTGAATCTAAATTAACTACCCAAGTTGCCGAAAGCTCATATAATCTAAAAATCTACACGAAAGCAGATCTACATGCCCATAAAACTGAAGTAAATGACATAGTCCATACCCAAAATAAAATTATTAGGGAAGAGATGAGCCAGACTATGAATACTAATAAATAATATTAAAAGTCAAATTCAGGAAACATATGAAACACAACATAAACAACTCAGACACACAGTAAGTGAAAACACTCAAAGGATTCAAGAACAACTAGAACCACAGATTAAAGCAAATCAAGACAAAGTCGAACAAAGCATTGTATTAATAGAAAATATGAAAATAACACTAAGTGAACATCATAACAAGATCGAATCTCTACAAAATGAAGCCACTGTTAAACAGAGTACATTCACTCCTAACATTTATGTATCTTGTGGTAGCGGAACTAATGTTGACTCAGATGTACCTAAATTCACTGGACGAGCACACAACCCCAAAGAGTTCTTAAACAAACTACAAAAATATTACTGTCGCAATTTGGTTCGCCAGAGTCCCACAACCGACCCTAAAGAATTCCTAATCGATACGATAGAGATGAGTTTAGAAGGGAGCGCTTCACGATGGTTTTCTCTTATCAAAAGTAATATTAATACATGGGATGAGTTTGAGAGCATGTTTCTCATGAAATTTTGGAGCCAATCAGTACAGCGTGGAATTCGACATAGATTGGAAAACGAGAAGTACCGTCCTGGAGGAAAACTGACCCGCTCAGAATACTTCATAGAGAGAGTCATAACGATGAAATCAATGTCCCCACCTTTGACTGATGAAGAAATTATTACATTGCTAAGCGATCACTTCAGTGAACTAATACAAGATGCCCGCATAGTACAGAATGCCAACACAATATTTGCATTTGAATCGATCCTCCAGCGTGAAGATATAAAAGACGGAAATCGCCGGAATAAACAAAACCATTCCCCATCACACAATACACCAGCGACAAACCGAAATGAACCAAGGCCCAACTATAACACACAAAATTATTAAAGCTTTTGAAGACGGGAGCTTTGCTCAGATTACTGCTTGTGATCTGAGCAAGGCATTCAATCTTGTAGATCACTCTGTGTTATTAGATAAATTAAGTTTTTACGGCATTAGGGGTTCGTGTTTGAAGTTTTTTGAATCATACTTGCATGGAAGATCTCAGTTTGTAGAGTTGAAGGGTGATCGTTCAAGATGTCTGGATGTAATAATGGGAGTACCACAGGGTTCTATCTTGGGGCCTTTATTATTCCTTTTATCAATTAATGACCTACCTGCCAATGTGTCCCTTTCTTCAACTACAATGTTTGCAGACGACACAACCTTTCTTAGTATAAGCAATGATACAAATGTCTTGTCTAATATTGCCAAAAATACTATTTTAGAAGCCAAGCAATGGTTTAGTGCTAATGGTTTGATTATTAATGAGAATAAAACTCAAGACTTACTCTGTCAGACTAGAATTAGAGTCGATGATTACAATGAACCAAATGACATAAAAATTTTAGGTTTAGTGATTGACAACTGTTTGACCTGGTCTCAACACATTGATTTCATTAGTGGTAAGTTGTCTAGGTGTATTTATCTTCTTAAATGTCTTAGCTCTAGTCTGCCTCAGAATTATTTAAAGTCTGTGTATTATGCTTTTTTTCACTCAATTTTAAGTTATGGTATTTTGTTATGGGGTAATAGTACCCATGTAAATAATGTATTGTTAATTCAAAAGAAGGCTGTGAGAATCATAACTAGATCTCGCCGAAGAGCACATTGTAAACCGTTATTTGTGGGCACTGGCATATTAACTGTCATTAATGTTTTTATCCTGCATTGTCTGATTAATGTTAAGAAAAAGGAAAAAGAGTATGATTTGCGCCAAGACATTCATGGTTATAACACAAGGAATAGGGGTCTAGTTGATGTACCTCACTGTAGGCTACAGAAAACTGCAAACAGTCATTTTGTTTTAGGTATTAAATTATTTAATAAGCTTCATCCCCAAGTCAAGTCCTTGCCGTTAAGTGTCTTTAAAAGAAAATTAACTATGTGGCTTTCATCTCACCCATTTTACAAAATTGAGGAATTTTTTGAAGGTGATCTCATTTTTTGCTAATGTTAAATGCTTTTAAGTTAGGCTAGGATTTTTATTACTGTAATTAATTTTCATATTTTTCATGTTCACTATTTTGATATGTTTTTTACCATATTCCATCTGTGATAATGTTAGAAATTTTGTTTTAAGTTAGGCTAGGATTTTTATTACTGTAATTAATTTTCATATATTTCATGTTCACTATTTTGATATGTTTTTTTACCATATTCCATCTGTGATAATGTTAGTAATTTTGTCCCTCTATGTTCATTGTACACCTGTGATAACCATTAGCCTTTTTAAGAAAGACCCACTATTATTCATAATTTAAGTTTGTTAAGTTTGCCTATTTTTAAAAAAATTATTTTAAACCTGTTAAATGTTCAATAAGGGCAGCCTATATTTTGGAATTTTCATGTCAAATTTTAATAATTATAAGTATTATTGCATCTTATATCTTTTACAATAATAATGACGATGTCAATTACAATAATGTATTGTTTAAAGACTGAATAAATGACTGACCAACTCACATACCAACTCACCAACTCAGTTTTTGTGTTTTGTGTGTCGGCTTAGGTTGGGGGGGGTTATTCTATTGACTATTCTATTGACTATTCTATTCTATTGACTATTCTATTCTATTGACTATTCAAACACAAAACAGATATCCTGACCGCACTAATAACATCAACCAAAATGCATACCAACCAAGATATGACATGATATATCAACAAAACAATCGACCATATAACCACAACCAACAATACAACAACCGGCCAAACCAACAAAACTGGTTCCCTTACCCACAAGGCAGATTTCCACAAAATTCAAA